ACTGTAGCTTCACCTGAGAATTTAGATTACCGTTAAGGTTAACAGTTTTATCAACTCAAAGATGAAGAGCGTAGAGTGGTCTGGGGAGCGTTGCTTGGAGAGATCTTGATGGAGGACAGGAGTTGAAGAGGTGGTAGAGAGCACAGAGAGACAGAAGGCGGGACTTCATATGCTGGCGTGAGAGCTTGAAGCAGCAACGAGTGGAGCAGGCAGGCATGGACGGGGGCCGGAGAGTCCATGTGGTGACGGTAGAGGATGACTTGTTGTAGGAGATGGAACAAGGAGAGAGGAACTGAACAGCTTGTCTGTAGCAGGTGACGAGGCCGAGCTGGCAGACTGAAGGACGTAAATCTGGAGCACACAGACGGGCTGATGTTACCACATAATCGAGGGAACAAACAGAGAGGACGGAACGTGCAGTTGGACCGTCCATTAGCACCACTTTGGCAAACAGGAGTGTAAAGCTGGATAGAATGCAAAGTTTGATTGGTGGATGAATTCCAGGTGTGCCGACGAGTAGGAAGCAGACGCTTAAACTGCAGAACAACAAGAGACACAAAGGAAGGGGACATGCTAGGCAGGGCTACGAATTATACAACCATATGGCTCCTATGCAGATTGAAGTCAGAGACACATGGAGGGGTTTCTGTCTTTTTCTGTCCAGTCATGTTATATAAACGTCTGCAGGTATTCCCTTTGTATAAGTTGATGTTTCTGGCATTATAAGTGACCGATTCTGTGCTGTGAGATTCAGTCAGGGCAGAATGTCATAATGCAGCAGCGAAAGAGGATTCACTACGAAGCACAGTCTGAAAATAAAAACGTGTGGGTGTGTGGTTGCAGCATGACAGAGCACGGAAGAGAAAATCTAGGAACGATGTTAGCACAATTTGGTTTTAGTTTTCTGTCTCCTCATCACATCCAACGTCTCAAACAGGTCCAATGAAACTTCCTGTGTCAGTGTGTTCATGTTAGTGTATTGGTTTTGCTGTTATATCTCAAACAAATATCAACTGTTTTAAAATTTTAACAGAGAAGTTGGTCTCTTGTGCACTACAGCAAAGACAGAATACAATTAGTTTGAGAGTAGACCAAAACCCATAGATAGTAGCTCTATCGTTACAAACTCATGCTCACCACTGAACATTTCATTAAATTGATCACATATTCATTCAATAGGAGATCCCAAATGTTCTATAGAGACCTCTGATTTCATACAGACTGCATCACATGCTCCATGAGCCATATTTTTGTTCAGTAAAATAGTAAAGCCAGAAAAACAGAGTCTTGAAAGTGAACATTTGGGTGTTTGAGCAACTTTATTGGATTTAATTAAGTGTTGGGGACCATAAATTGGGCCATCAGGGCCACTACTGCAGGCTGATTTATTTACTGTAGTTGCCCCCGTGTGTGTGTGTGTGTGTGTGTGTGTGTAGGTGTGTGTGTGTGTGTGTCTGTGAACAGTCTCCAGCTCCAGTGCTTAGGTCTAACATGTTGATATTTTACAGGTGAGGTGAGCTTGGTCTCAGGCTGGTCAACAGGCTGGAAGATAGATTCAAGGTGTTTGGTACATATAAGCTGCCATGTTGAGTCTTTATGTTGGTGACCTTGAGTTTTTTAAATATATTTTTGGAGCTTTTGCCTTTATTTAGAGCAGTAGACATAGACAGGAAAGGGGGGAGAAGAATGGGGAAAAACCTGCAGCAAAAGTCGTGAGCGGGAGTCGAACCCACGACCGCTGCATCGGGGAGCTATAGCCCCTGTTTATGGGTCGCCTCCTCAACTAGGTGAACTACAGGTGTGCCCAGTGACCTTGAGTTAACTCAAGGTCATGAATTGTGACTGCACTGTAACTTGAAAGCAGAGCAAGATAGACACACTGTTTGTAACGAAAACCATATATGGGCTTCCCACTGAGGATTTGACCTTAGGTGATATTTCAAGGTCAAACTCAAGGTCGCAATATTTTGATATTGCCATTATATTTTAAACAACATGTAATGTATTCATGGATAGCACGTTTTTCACCTTAAACAACCAGTCAACCATGATTAGTGAAAGAAAACATCTCTTTTGTGGTGAGTAGGACAGAATAATGGTTCACTGGGGCTCAGTGGGCTGCAGGTAGCTCGGTGGTTAGCACCGTTGCCTCACAGCTAGAAGGTCGCTGGTTCGTGTTCCGGTGAGGACACCCGGGACCTTTCTGCGTGGAGTCTCCATGTTCTCCCTGTGCAGCGTGGGTTCTCTCCGGGTTCTCCAGCTTCCTCCCACAGTCCAGAAACATGCTGAGGTTAATTGGTGATTGTAAATTGTCCGTAGGTGTGAATGTGAGTGTGCTTGGTTGTCTGTCTCTAAGTGTAGCCCTGTGATAGACTGGTTACCTGTCCAGGTGAACCTGCCTTCACCCTGAGTCAGCTGGGATAGGCCCAGCCCCCCATGACCCTGGTGAGGATTAAGGTGTAGAGATGATGGATGGATTGATTTTATTATAAATCAATGTTTGTTTCAACTGTGCAGTCTGCCTCATTACTTAATAGGGCTCCTAATGTTGATGTAATTTCTCTCATCTGTACTTTTTCTTTTTTGTCTCTGTGATATGTCAGAATGTCTGCTCAGCCGGATAACGCTAAACATCCTGGAATGCTGTCAGTGTCACCATCAGTCTGTTTGATGTCTGAGGACATGTTACCTGCTAACTGTGTAGAAGTTGTCCCTACAGTCCCTCATTAGCTGTCAATCTAACATCTGCTTGTTTGGAGGCTTAGAAGAGTATGACTGACACTTCATCAGTATTGTGATGTGAAATATTCTGAGGGATCATTTGCTCAGGAAGCCTCTCCCAGTTCATCACAGTTGTCTCTGTGAAATGGCTTTCACAATCCAGACATTTAAGCCAGCTGACATCACTGGGTCTGATAGAGTCCGACGCAGACAGACACGGAGCTTTAAATACCGGCAGACGTCATCGGGGAGATCCCCTTTCACTGGGGCTTAGTGCCACGCTGATCCTGGATCCTGGAGTTAATATTAGCCTACAGTGACACCCACCGTGACATCCAGGAACACAGGCCGCTGTGTTTGGGTTCTGAGTTAATGACTAAAGCCATTAAGCACCGTGTTTGTCTCTGATTATCCAAACATATCCAATATTAAATCGCAGAGGTTATTGTTTAAGATAAACTGCCTTCTCCACAGCGTGTGCTCACTAGCAGGGAAAGTTGTAGAGGTTCTAGTGAACAGGTGGACAAACACACAAACAACAGGTAGGTAGGATCAGGTCATGGAGGCTGTGCTGCTTTTTAGCTATTTATGGCTGTTGGTGTCCAGCTGTCAGCTCAAGGTTGAAGTGTCAGCATGAGATCACAACAGGTGGAATAGTTTCCATGCTACGAATTGTACACATGGTGTCTCTGATTTACCCCGACAGGACAAAAGAAGAATCCAGGAGGACATCGCCAAGAAAAGGAGACAGATCGAAGAGGAGAAATTAAAACTCCAGTACATAAAGGTAGTTTTTCTGTTTCATGTCAAAATGAGGTCCAAACATCTTATTTCAATAAATAAAAACATTGCAGAGTAGAAATGAGTCTCAGGCAGGCAGGGAGGAGAGAACGTAGAGACTCCCATGACCAGCTCTGAGATCTTCTAATCCTAACTGCAGGAGCATTACGTAACTGATTCTATTCCCTTATTCTGCTTATGTCACTCCAAAAGAAATCAACTCAATTCACTGCCATTTAAAATGTCTTGTAAACACAAAAAAGAGGGCTTTACATGTGTTTCAGAATTGATGAGTTTAGGTTAAAGTTGCATTTAGTGATTGTGTGACCACCAGGGGTCAGAAAGAGTCCAAAGCAAACTCACAGGAAAAAGGTGTTGTTCCAACTCTGTACTACATGGGCAGGTGAGGACGGATTCAAGTACATGGAATTTGTTTAGAGTTACCACGACAGACATAACTGCACAGAAACAGCTTTTACAATCGGATAATATGAATTCTATTATTGGCTGAAACTGAAGTTCCTTTGTGTCGGTGTGTTTGGCTGACAGAAGAAAGCCCTGAGGGAGCAGTGGCTGATGGACGGTCTGAGTCAGCAGTCGGAGGAGGAACAGGAGGCCATGAGGCTCCAGGCTCAGGATGAGCAGCAGCAGAGCGATCAGCTGCAGAGCAACATCCTCAGGTAACCTGAAACTGAAAAACATCTCACAGCACATCCCACACTGGACGCACCAGGCAGAGAACTGGCTGAACCAACAGATCACACTGCAAAGGCGTTTATGTTTGTTAGTTCTGATGCTGGTGAAGACTGAGCGAGGCTTCAGTAATGCCGGTGGAGAAAATGTGCTGCTGCTGCATCATAACAGCCTCAGAGGATTTCTTTCCAGTGATATTATACAGACATGATGTTCTTCAGTGAGAAACTGGTTAAATAAAGGTAGTGACAGAAACGGCAGCTGTTTGGAGGTAAATGCAAAAAATGTTTTACGTTAATAAAAGAGTTTGGACCCTATATACCAAAATGGCAATACAGCCATGACTCGATAATCCTAAATGTAAAACCTTCTTTATGTCGGATATCAAGGCTGTCGGATTGTCCAGACGGAGGTCCAGATACGAGGAGGGCTTGATGCTGGAAAGCTCATTAGTTGTTCATTATTGTTCATAGTTGTTATAATAACTAGTAGGGCTGGTCCCAATAGAACTTTCTGCTCTCTGGATATTCAGGCCCAATTAATGATGAATATCAGAACATTTGCCCGGTCGGGGGACACTTCCACCCCGGGGCAGCGCTCTGACGGGGTGGAAGTGTCCAGAACACACAGGCAGTACTTGGCTGCTGATGCTAGTTTAGTTAGCGCTCACACTTCTGTTTCCTCCATCGGTGGCGGCGGGGGAGTGGCAGATACGCTCCACCGTTACCATCCATGTTTACTTCCATAAACACTGAGCACGCTCGCTGCGTGTGACGTCGTCGTGTCCTCTTCTGCGCATGCGGGACACTTTTGGCTCGTATGAAGTTCACACAGCAGATCACATACAAGTCGCATTGAACTGGAAACGTGAAGGAAGTCACAAAGAAATCCTCATTGAGCATCAAGTCCTGCAGTGTGAACGTAGCCAATCTGTGGGATTGTTCAGTCAGATAATACGCCGTCATCCTGATTGGTAACATTAAATGTCATGTTGGAGTCACAATCCAAGGCTGTCGCTATGTTAAGGCTGTTTTTATGGGTTCTGTTTGTTTTTCCTAAAAACCTGTCGGATAGCAGGTTTAGTATAAAAAAGTAATGAAACATATTTCTGCCTCAGAAGCTGCCGAGCATAATTTTTTTTTTACCATAACACAGATTCACAGTAATGTTCAGGATCATTGGACAGGAAGGCTATGAAGCATCACCCACCCTCTGGAGACAGGCGCTGTGCACGTCTTTCTGTTTACGTGACCCACAGTGGAAAGCAGCGAGGGATTAGAACCAGAACGTTTCACCTGAGCTTCGTGTCAGCAGCATGTGTGTCAGTCAGAGTGCAGACAGATGAGCTTGTCTTCATTACATAACAGGACTACTCAGCCACGGCTTAAAGTCTGCACACACTACACACAGGAGTCACGACCTCAGCATTCATAGAAACCAGTGTGCTGGACTGGAGATCGTGTGGAGATCAGTTTGTTTCTGATTTCTTGGATTAGTTGTAGGCATTTAGTTGGGCTGAGCTCTGATCAAGAGGATCCTTCAGAACTACTTTGTATTGCAGTAAACCATGCCTCAGAGTGGACCAGTGGATCTGAACCATCCCAGAAACGTGCCCCCTCCCAAGGCACTAAAGAGCCCCCAGATCTCCTGACTGCAGGGTTCTAGTTTTTCCTTTAATTTGTCTTTCTATGAAAGAGGTCAAATAATAAATCATTTTAAATTACTATGATTGTAGAAACAATATATTTAACCATGACAACAAACTCTGTGCTACTTATTCATATCCTTTATTTACTTACTTAAAGCCACAATTTAAATGCTTTGTTGTTCTGATTTTTAAAAAGTCTCGTATAATTAAAGGTTGGCTGTGACTGAGGGCTCCATATGCACATGTTGGTGTTCTCTTCCTGTTGTTTTAAAGGATAAGTTACACTTTAATGTTACTCATTCTAAGTATTTTACAGCAATGAGGGAAGAATTCAGATCTACCATAAATGAATAGTCTTGATGCTGCCAGTTTTCCACTGACCTGCTGCCGGCCACAGGTCAAAGCTCACCGTGTGTGCTTGTTAATGCAGAGGGACGCAAGGGTTGGACTCAGTACAGATGTTACTGCAGTACTGATGCCAGTATTTACTCAGATGCTCCATCACTGTGGAGAAGAATGATCTATAGATGTAAATGAGAACCTAAATGAAAAGGTAAACAGTAGAAATGTCAACAAGTTGTGCCCAGAGAACGAGAGGGTCGCCTCTCTGTGACTGACTGTTGTCTTTGCTAATGCACTGAACAGCAGCTCAGAGTTTGAGCCTTCTTGGACTCTCTGGGTGGTGTCCTGGGGACTCCGTAGTCCTCCTGGGTGACTTCAATGCTCACGTGGGCAACAATGGACAAACCTGGAAGTGGGGTGATTGGGAGGAACGGCCCAGCCTGATCTGAACCCAAGTGGTGTCTTGTTATTGGACTTCTGTGCTTTTCATGGGTTGGCCATAACAAACAACTTACTCGGTACCAGAGCACCTTAGGCCAAAGGTCGATGATCAGCTTTGTAGTTGTGTCATCAGACCTGTGGCTGTATGTATGAGTTGGATCCAATGGTGGGTTAGGCTGCTGGTAAACCCAAACATGTACTGTGGGTGAACTGGGAACGTCTGGCCGAGGCCCCTGCGGTGGGGTTTTAAATTCCAACCTTAGGAAGAGTTTCTCCTGCATCTCGGGGGAGTTTGGGAACATGGAATCTGAGTGGGCCATGTTCAGAGAAGGGGGTGACCTGCTGACCCAGACTGGGGATGGAAAGAGCACTTTGAGGAACTCCTTAGCGCGGTTAACACTCTGCTGAGGAGCAGAGCCTGAAAACTCGGGGGCATCTCCGCCTACAGTCATAAAAAAAATGATTAGACCACCTTGTTTTCTTTAATTACTTGTTCATTTTAATGCCTGGTACCACGAGCGCTGCCTGCTGCATCAAAGCTGCCCGATTAAAGGCACCCATGCGACCTGTCGACTAAATCCCTACCTCAAACAACCCATCAGCACACAGGATGGAACGATAACTGCTGCTCATCCACAAGAACGGCAGATCAAAACTCTAAAGGAGCCTTACTTAGGAGGGTAAAAAACATCACATTTTTAGAAATAAATTAGTTTTTGTACTAATAAAAATGTAAACAAGGATTCCCAGCTACCAACATGATTAGACATGACTTATCGTGACATGCAGCATCATATCAAATAATTTACATTAATCAGTATGAACCCATCTTTAAAATGATTCCTTTTGAGAATACATTAAACACACAAATACGACCGAGCTGCCATGTACGCAAGATTCACTGAAGTACTGACTCACTACTGCTGTTGTTTTTGCTGTTAGAACTGTTGGAGATGCTGTTTTCCATTTATCAACGCACTCCATTTCTGTCTTGTACAGAATAGAGAAGGAGATCGAGGCCTTGGAAACACAAGAGCTCAACATTTCTGCCAACGAAGAAGTAGTCCTGAAGCGATTAAAAGAGGTGGAGAGAACGCCAGAGGACATTATCAAGGTAGGCTCCAATCAGCTGGACGTCTTCAGATGCTGAATGCTTCACTGGCTCTAACTCTGATGTGTGCTGCTTATTCACTTATTCTTGGCTGTACTAGTGCTAGAAAACTGGGCTTTTTACTTCATCACAAGAATGAATGATGAGAACTTAAAAACCTTTTGTTTTTGACAAACTGTTTTCTGATGTGGGACTGAAGTGAAGTGCAGATGTGTTTGACGGTAACGTACCTGCTCAGGTGGAACGCCGCTCTGTGCACTTTAAGGGGAGTTTCATGTGTGCTGATCAGCTTTTAAACATGTTGCCGTCACTGCATTCAGCTGTGACGTTTGTTCCTTTGTATCGGTGAATAAAGAGCTTGTATTTATGACACATTTTTCAAGGAATTTGTCTGTTTAAGTTCAATTTAATTAAATTTATAGAGTGCAAAAACACAACATGTCGTCTCACAGCGCTTACCATAGTACAGTACAGAGCTGAGGTATTCTGAACAGAGAACTGGACAATCCAAAAAAAGAAAGAGAGAACAACCAGGATCAGAGAAGACGGCCATCTGCCTCGACCGGTTGGGTGAAAATGGGGATGAGGGGCTGAAAAAGGTCTCAGGTTCAGCAGGACGGGTTGGGGTGTGAACAGCAGGGCAGCAGATGGAGAGAAGGAATACAAACAGAACAATAAACATTTTGGAAATCGGTGACACCAGCGGCTCCAGATCCAGAGACATCCACAGAGAGAACAAGCACAGAGCTGGTGATATGTCATGGTGATATGTAATTGTGTGTAAGAGAGGAGCCCAGTGCATCATGGGAATCCCCCGGCAGTCTAAACCTATAGCAGCATCACTAAGGGACAGTTTAGGTGATCCTGAGCAGCTCTAACTATCAGCTTCATCACAGAGGAACGTTTTAATCCTGACCAGAGAGGGTGTCCGCCTCCAGAACCCAGACTGGGAGCTGATGCCACAGCAGAGGAGCTGATAACTGAAGGTTCTGCTTCCCATTCTGGTTCTGGAGACTCTGGGACCACCAGTAGACCTGCAGTCTGAGAGCGAAGGGCTCTGGTAGGATGATATGGAACAAGAAGGTCTGTAAGGTCACATGGAGCTGCTCATTAAGACTTTTATATGTTAGAAGTAGGATTTTAGATTCTATCCTGGATTTTACAGGAAGCCAATGAAGAGAATCTGATACGGGAGAAACATGATCTCTGTTACTGGTTCCTGTCAGAACCCTGCTGCAGCATTTTGGATCAGATGGAGGTTTCTGAGAGAGTTATTGGGACATCCTGATAATTAGGAATTACAATAGTCCAGCCTAGAAGTTATAAATGATGGACTAGTTTCTCAGCATCAGGTTGCTCCTGATTTTTACATTATTGATGAAAGGCGGCCGTCCTACAGACGTGCTTTATGTGTTTGTTGAAGGAACCATTCTATTCAAAAATAAGCTGAAGGCCAAGGCATCAGAGTGACTAGCTGGTTAGACGGTGTGTTTCTGAGGTGTTTAGGGACAAATACAACAACCTCAGTAAGGACATTACAGTCATCCAGGCCTTTATGTCCTTCAGACAGTGACTGAAGTGACAGTAAATTGTATTGCAGTACGACAGCAACATATTTTTGATCGAGTCATTTCTGAAAACCAGTGGGTCAGTACAGACAAACATGAGACAGGCGTTGGCCTAAACGAAGGCTGGGACTCAACGCTGAAATGATGCAGGGATGTGGTACGCATGTGTTTTTGTCTTCTTTTAACTAAGATAAAATATATAATGAAAAAGGAAAGAATTAAATGTACCGTACACGAGCACATTGAATAGTTTTAGATCAAGGTTTTCATTGATCATTTCTTAGTGTTTTCACATTTTAAACATTTGGACATAGTTCAACTGAAAATCGACTTACATTGATTGAAGTCACCTCGTGTCACTGCAGGTACATTTGCTCATTACAAAAATAAATTAAATCCATTTGACTTTCTAATTTATGTTAGTGGTTTGCTATCACTCGTGTTGCTGAGAACTTCGGAGCGTATGATGAGTGTTTGATGCCACTTCAGCAACATGCATATCTTCAAGCCGTAACCAACCTCATGCATCAGCCCAACTCAACTCACCGCACAACTGGGTTTCAAATCTGATTTTATTGTCCTCACTCCACGCTGTCTGTGGCTCTCGCTGTAATCTCTGCTTGTTTCTAACAAGACGCTCTCACTGAGGACTGTGTGGGTGTGCTTAGGTTCACAAGAGGCTGCTTTGAGTGAAGAAGGTGGCAGGTAAATGGATTTCTCACTTGGTGGGCGTGCAGTGAAAGCACTAATATGCATGGTTTTCTTCCCGGTCGCTGGCTGGCTGAATTTTCTTTGCTGTCTTCGAAACCGCTGTGACTTTAAAGCAAACGTTTACCGGCTGCTGACGAGAAACAGCATTAATTTGTAGCACTGCTCTGATGTTGACTTGCTGCTTCTGTCACCACTTTGACCTTCGACTACTCTGTCTTCACATATAGGAGCTCAATGCAGAGTTCCAGCCAGGTAAACACTTTTGGAGCATTTTAGTGTGCTGTAACTGGTAAATTAACATTTCTGTATGATTCTGTGTAACATCTGATAATGTTAGACCAGTCTGCATTAACATATTTATAGATCTGTGATTTGTTTGGACGTATTACTAAAATATGAATGTTTTCGTTGCCACCCTCTAAAAGAAAAAGCAGTGTATAAGGAATGGATAGAACCATTTAAATAGTCATAAGATTTAATATTTTGTAGACATATTTCTCTTTCAAACCTTTATTTATTTCAGACAGAACAGTAACCACTTGCTCATGTTTTAAGCCCATTATTTTCAGATCACAATGTTCGGGTATCTTAGCAAATGTCAAGATCATGATTTAAGTATTTAGTTATCTAGAGAAGTCCAACTTCTCCTCGCACTCTGACCTAATATGTAAGTTGGATAGCTGGAGGCAGGATGGGGTTAGTCAATTATTCTATGGACTTGGACCAGGAGGGTTGGGCTCAGGGCTCTACCAACACCTCTTAAACACATTCATTATAGGTTTCATTCAAGCCTGTGAATCCATCACATGTATTTGTACTCGCGGTGGGTCAGAACCCAGGTGCAGACTCAGGAGATCAGGCAGAGACAGGTGAAAGTTATAAAGGGTTTACTTAAAGGAATGAAACTTATACAGAAACTGAGGGGAAAACAGAACCAGAACTAAATCACAAAACACTAGAGGGGGAAACCTGTGACAGGAGAGGAAGAGCCAAACCGAGGGACCTGATGACATTCGTGGTTTTAAGGGGAAACTTCTTAAACTGTGACATAATTAGTGGTTAATCCACCTGCCCGGCACAAAGGAGTATCTTACCCACCTGTGCTTTGTTATAACAAGACGCTTTGTTTAGCTTGTTATCCAAGCTCAGCCTGTGAAAGCAGAACCAGGAGGTTGGTTCTGTTTTGCCCTATAAGCACATCATATCTTGAATAATCCCATTAAAGTATTGTGTTGGAATAACGGGCTTAAAATGAGCACTATAGTGTTATTGTTATCGGTGGTCTAATAATTTGGTATAACATCTTTAATGTTGTTGGCTTTTGTGGTGTTTTGTCATTTCATTCACACGATTGTCCCCGCAGATGTGACACATCACGTCCCATCACTGCTCCCAGATCTCCCATCATTGATCCCACTGGCACCAGCAAAACCCTTTCCTGTACATGAGCCTGTTAGGGACGAACCAAAGAAAGGTACAACCACTGGACAGGGTGAACATCTGTTCTGTGTTTCTGGTTGGTCACACAACTGTCAGGATGATCTGTTGAAATTATAAGAGATAGGGGGAAAAGTGTCATTAAAACTGAAACTGTGGGGAGATTCAGGACGATCGCTAGTAATTCACATAGTTCAGCCTTTCAGCTTCAGAGTTATAGACATCCATTTGGTGCTCTCCAGCTATCCACATCAGATTGACTGCTCTGCTAGAGAACCCCTGTTAGTTCCATTATGCGACTTTAAATGCTGTAATTTTGCATTTCACTGAGGTGTAAATTATGAAGCAGTTAGACTTCACTGTGAGAAGTGTACATTTTCTACCATGTTGGAACTTTTCTGAAGTCATTCATCAGAGAAAGCAAAGTCTGCATCACACTGAAACATTGCCTCCAGCAATTAAACTGACAGTTTCCCAAGTTTGCATTGAAAGAAGTATGTCACAGGAAGTCAGAGACCAACATAGACCAGAACTGAGTAAAAGTGAGTGTGCGGGGATCTGGAGAGGGCCACGACTGGAACTGTTCTGACAGCCTTTAGTAAAGACCTCAGGTTATAAATGACCTGGAAATGTTAAAGCTCCAGAATGTGACATTGGACAAACTAATCAGACTTGCTTCAGGTCAAAATACGATGTAGACTTCATCCTAGGAACATGCATACATTTACCTGGAGGCTTTACTGACCAGGATCCAGTAGGCTAGGACCAGTGTTAGGAAACTACAGACAGGATTACAGCCACCAGAATGCATGAAACAGCACAAAACAAGAACACGTGGAGCACATCCACACTACCGTGGCTGGATTATATTAACCTGAACACTGAAGCAGGGATTCACATCATTAAAGGAAGGAGAACCAAGATTACCAACTACACTACTGAGCTGGTAGTTAGAGAGAGCAGACAGGGAGTATGTGGATGGAGGAGGGGTGGTGGTGTTGGTTGAAGGGGGATCGAGGCTGGAACGTCAGAGTCCAGATCTGGAGAAAGAGGTTCTGAGATGAGCTGAGGTCTAACAGAGGATAGCAGCAGGAGGAATGGGGTCCAGGCAGGGAGCAGAGAACTTAATAACTTGGCCTGAGATGACTGACTAGTGACTGATCAGTGGTCCAGCATCAGATGGTGAGCTGAGCCAGTGTTTTACAGCAGGCGGTGGTGATTGGTGGCAGGTGAGCCACTCCCCGGCTCAGGTGTCCTCACTTAGCAGATGATCCAACATGTAGGGAAGGAGGGGAGAGCTGCCAGCTGAGCAGAGGCGAGTACATGACGTAAACTTAATCAGAGGAAACATGATAGATGTCATTAATGACAAAGTGTGACTGTGTCCAAATCAGATAATCAAACACGTCTTTCTGTGGTGCACTGAGTTATGTCACCACCGTACGGCAGAGTGTTTTGTGTTTCCCAGGACAGCGGTGAAGCTGCTGAGTTTCTGCATGACATCGTGCAATAGCGTGAAACCAGCTTCACTATAAAATAAGTTGGTGTTTGTGCTAGGTTGTTGATTAGTTTTTAACAGCTCTACTTCGATGTCTTGAGTAAAGTTTAAATAATCTACACACCTGGTCTTTGTTCTAAGACTTAATCCAAGTCTTTCTTTGTTCCAGCTACTTTTGCGATGGAAATCAGTGTGGAACACGATAAGAGGACTGGCAAATGTCAGGTTGTTTCCACAGCCGCTATCACCCCGGACACCATCCAAGAGCGGGGGTTAAAAGTGTACGACGACGGGCGCAAGTCTGTTTACGCGCTGCACCCAGATGGAGCTAAAATACACAACGGAGCTGTTGGAGAGATGACGGTCACCGAAGTAGACGAACTTCTGCGTCAGGCCACAGATGAGAAGGTGCCCACCGAGGTGCAGTACCACCAACCCGTCTACTCTTTACCTTACACGGGAGCCAGCAGACCATCAACACCCCAAGTGCCAACCAAAGTACAAACCCCATCGCCCAGACCCCCTCAGAGCACCACCTCATGCAGGAACGGAGCTCAAACCCTTAAGGAGGACAAGCAGTGCAGTCAAGATCAAGCTAAACAGAAATACCCAAATAAAACACCCAGCCCCAGCCTCGTTAGTCACAACTCTACGTCAAGAGCCCAAAGGTCTGGAGAAGAAGCCAAGCTGCCCTGCGTCCACCTTCCAGGACAATCCACAGGTGACAAGCACCCGGCTCTACAGAAAACTCCACAAGGACTCACCAACAGGAACAAGAACATAAGCAGTCCAAACCCAGCAGCTCCTGTCTCAATTAAAGTCAGGTCTGAGGAAACGCCTGCACCTATACAACCGGTCTACAGGGCTGTAGATAGTCATAGTCCTCTGTTAACCAGCCACAAATCTGACGTTGACTTAATTGAGAGCTCACATGACGTTAGCAGACACTCGCCCTTCTGTGCAGAAAGTGTTTCCTCTTTAAACGTCATGAACACTCTGCCAGAGGAGATAGAATCCCAACCCATCACCATGATCTTCATGGGCTACGAGAATGCTCTGGATGAGGAGGAAGATGACATCCAGGCTGAGCTGGTGATCATAGGCAACAACGATGATGACGATGATGAAGATGAAGATGATAATGACAGGGAGGAGTATCTGTCGTATCATCCGGAGGGATACAAGAGCAAAGTCTTCCAACCCAAAGTGGGCATAGCCAAGGTGGTGGGCTGCAGAGACATTACTGAGGACACACACTGGGATGATTTAGGGCTCCACAAGCCGACGTTTATCCACAAGCCTGGAAAGCACAACCTCTACATGCAGGGCCAGGGGGCGGATGAGGCTGCAAACACAGGCAGCATCAACATGGAGAAGATGAAGCTCTGCTCAACAGGAAGATAAGAGAACTTGCTGAGATACTGGCAAAAAGAATATAGACGTGATTAGAGGTGATTCATTCTGTCTTTCACCATGCCGCGGCGTCCTGAACATGATTTTTGTATAATTTCCTAACCAATCCAACATATAGTACTTCTCAGCCTGCCGATCTTATGCAACAGGAAGACAACAACTTCCTACCTCATGCTGTTTTTGTTTTTTTTTGCAAAAGCCTTATCTTTATATTTTTGTCCAGATTGAGGGAGAAAGCTGGCAGCCACACGTGTCATCAGTCCTTGTGCCTTTCAAGTGGCTGTAATGCCACCTCCTGGCCGATTAGTCTTATGTCACATCAACAAGGCAAAGTGTACAGCTTTAATTTACTGGCAACATCATCAAACATGTTTGAATGAAGTATAATAGTCTATAAGTTAAATGGAAAATAATGCCTTTATTAAAGCTCTGTAAGATCTATAAGGCTGTGGAGCTAAAACAGAGACTACTGTAAATAACCAAAGCAACTGTAAGCGGTCTGTTTTCCTGAGTTGGTCTAGGTCTAGGGCAAGCTTAAGACTTCCACCTTTGTGTTAACAGTTTGTTTTTGGTCCTCTCAAGTTGACAACGTCCCTTTGTAGAGAACCAGCCGAGTCCATTCAGCACATTTGGGATGAAGTGAAACCCTGACTGTGCACCCGGCCTCGTCCTCACTAACGCTCCTGCTGCCAAATGACAGCTTTAAACATGTGGTGGAAGCCCTGAACCCTGCTAATGATCACATGCTCAGATATGGAAGGATTATCCTCGTGTCCACATATTTCTTCATGCAGCCTTGTGTAAAAAGCAATAAAACATTAATTTATTGAGCAGTAATGAAGCTGGAGCATTCATGAAGTACTTCCTCTAAGCAACCCGTGTGGACACGACGTGGATCTGTTTGGATTTCTACTGTAACTCTGTAAACTAACCGACCTGTGTGCTGTTACTGACTCTGCAATTAAACAGATTTCATCATCGACACTTGATTACACGACTGTTTTTGGTGTTCGCCAGTTAATTTCACCTTTTAAATCAAAGACTCCTTTCCTCCCCGCTGATGAAATTAACCGTTCAGGGTTATTTTATAGGAGCTGCTTGTATTCAGCACCAAAGCAAGTTCAGTTACAAGAAGAAATTACACGTGTTTGAGAATTTGCAACCATAAAACAAAGAAGAACACGTGTCTAATCTCTGCTGTGCGGCCAGAACAGTCCGACGGCCCTCTGCATGGACACCACTGAACGCTGTTGTTCTGCTCCTCGTGTAAAACACTCGTCCTTGGTTGCTTTCTCTCCCTCCCTGTGTCTCTCTGTGGCATTAAGAAAACCATGGAGGAGGGTGAAGGGGAAAGAAAGGAAAAAAAAAAAACACGATGTGGTTATGTAACAGCAATTTCTTATGCACAACAGGAACCTAAGAAGTGAGAAAAACGTCCGTTGTCATTACTGTGACTGAAATTCAGTATTCATAGTGAATCTGTGTCTGTTTTCTGGACGAGTGTATTAAACTACTGGCTGAATGTATGATACCGTCCTCCTAAAGATGAGCTGCTGCACTTTTTGTGTTGATGAGACGTCTCATGTTCCTAATGGACTGACTGGAGGCAGTAACGCACCTCCCTCAGGAGAAAACAGGCAAATCCCACAGAGACACAGGAGGAATGGGATCTTTACAAACAGACAAACAGAAACGAAACCACGACCAAAACCAAAGAGCATGATGGAAAGTTTCACCTCAAACTCTTTCATTTTAAACACATTTGTTCTGACTCAGTGACCAGAACACTGTATCAGGAGAGAGATGCTGATGGGAGTTTAGTTTAAAAGGTGATGTTTGCATGCTGTGGACCCCACTGGCTAAATGTGTTTCATCTCCACAGTGTGACAGCAGACATCCTCTAGACCAGGGATCTCCAGCTCTGGTCCTCGTGAGCTACTGTCCTGCAGGTTTTAGACGTTACTGCAACATACCTGACTCACATTCATGGATCTCCATGTTGTCAACACAAGTCTGTTAATGATCCTTTAATGTGAGTCAGTTGTGTTACAGTAACGTCTAACACCTGCAGGACAGTAGCTCATGAGGACCAGAGCTGGAGATCTCTGCTCTGAACTAATGACAAACATTCTTCTCTGTGACTTTTCCTCGTTCTCATGTTCTGATCTGAAACTCTGCAGTGAGTCAGAGTTTAGCTACAGAGCTGCTCGGTTCAGGTGGGTTGGCCCATTCATATACCATCCGACCGCCTTTCTACTTCTTAGAGGAGGGAATTATAAATCAATTTACTGATTCACTTCACTTCAGAGACCTGGAGTGACTGATGGTGCAGTTTTCTAACATGTTTTGGTTGCATCACTGCTGAAAGCCACTTCAGTACAAACAGCTTCAGGCTGTCACCCGTCTGCAGCAGCAGATAGACTCATCGTCATCCAGTTCACTTACTGCTGTACATACTGAAGGGAACCTCAAGGCATCACTGTTTACACAGACTTAGTGCTGGTTCTACTCAGTTTTGGTTCAGTAGAACATTTTGCACATGAGGTTAACAGCTCAGCAGCCTGTTTTAAACTGATTTAGCAGAATCTGATTATTTCTGTGGCTTCCTCTGTCTTTTATTACAATTTAACAAAAAAGTAGTGAATCACAGTTTATCTGACAACGCTGCTCTCGGCCATCAGTGAGGACCTGGAGCTCCTCAGTCAGGTGACTTTAAAGATTTGTCAAGTTTTTTCAATGCCATGAGCAACACAGCAACAAACACTCCCCATACAGTGTACAACAGAAATGAGTAAGCCCCTGTACAACATCACCTAAATGTCAAACAGTTAAAATTGTACCTTAAAGTAATTGCAGGACTTCTAATTTGAACAGTAGGTTATTTGCTCCGATGTAAAATTACCATGGACTCCCTCTGCGTACTATTTAGTATATTGAATATGGAGGCCCCACAGTAGGAATTCAATAAAACCTTACTGAGACTCAGATCTCCTCCTCAACATGGAGGATAAGTGTGTTTCTGGACAGATGTTCATAAACTATTTTGTTCAATTGTTCTTTGCTGGCCCTGCGACAGACTGGTTACCTGTCCAGGGTGTCCCCTGTCTTCGCCCTAAGTCAGCCTGGATAGACTCTAGCCCCCCATGACCCTGGTGAGGATTCAGCGGTGTATAGATGATGGATGGATGGATGTTCTTTGCTGGAGGAGTAGCGCTGCTCCACCTTTCTCTTGAAGGTTTTCTATCAGATTAGGTCAGGTAACGTACTGGACCAGGTCGTAGTTTTCACGCTTTTCTTTCGTGTTGTGATTTTGACGGTAAGCTTTGGATCAAATATTGTTCTTCTACTGAACTTCTGCAGACTCACTAGTCGAGCAGTGTTTCGGTTTATCCACAGGCAGCCACGGTGCATCTGTAAATGTAATCTGACCGACACCTTGTGCACCACTGAGCTACCAAAGTCCTCCCACCAGGGTCACCTGAGCTCTAAAGATTTGGTCTCCTTTGATCAAAGACGATGCTCCAAGTATCCATCTTGTTTTGTTGTTGTTGTTGTTGTTGTTGGATGCTGTCCATACAGTGTAATGTTATGCACCGCCCTTCACACTGTCTGAGGTTCCACAGAAACTGTGATTTCTATGTATAACCGCTGTGCCAAACCTGACGTAGGTGCCGATGGCTTTATCACAGCTATCCTTTGTGTGTCCTGTATATCTCAGTGAAGTCTCAGCTTAGAATGAATGCAAATATTGAGACATGATATAAATAACTTGACATTTAGGTGACATCACACAGGACTTGTTCCTGTTGTATGCTGTATGTATATAGTGTACTACAGAATCCACGGGTGGAGGAGGGATACCTTCCTCTTTAATATTTAGAATACATTAGCTCCCCCTAGTAAAACATGACAAATACAAGATGGCTGTTATCTGGAAAGAAACACGCTAACGTTACTGATGCACACTACGGCGCTACGAGAAGGTGTTTTTCTTCCGATTAAGGGTTTTGTTTAATTTTTGGTCAATTTCACAGGAAACACATATTCGAGGGGATTCCATGCATCAGAATGTCCAATATGACTCTTTAAGTGTCTCTAATACTGAGTCTGGCCCCCTGACATGGATCAATGTGTTCAGACATGGAGGCGTTCTGTCCACCAGCTGGTTGATGGAGTCAGTGGGCAGGACGTCCCACTCTACGCTCACATCCTGAAGTCAGAACTGGTTCCACCTGCTAACTGGGACTCTGTGTGTGATCATTGGACCTGGTCACAGTGATGACTGATGTGTAGAAATAGGAATAAAAAGAGGAACGTGTCTGAAAACTAAAAATGTTCCAACTTTATGGGCAACAGTGTAGTAATAAACACCAGGGGCCTGTACAGTGCAGAAAGTTTATCATTTATCAGACTAACTGGTCACACAAAGATCAACTCGTTAAGTCAACCCAGGGTTTCAGAATACAGCTACGAGCACATTCCCATAAAAATGGTCGTGTTTGCAAAAAGCAAAACCAAGTAGGCTGACTGGAAATCTTATAAGATTGACGAGCCAAGACGTTAGTACTTTATTCACACTCTGTTTTAGGATCATATTGCCATACTAATAGAAAAGAAAAAAACATTTCGTTGAAGGTTCTTACTATCAATGCACAAAAAGCAATATCCACGCTCGTCTCCTCGGCAACCCTCACACTCTGTGCTCACAGAGCTTAACCGAATCTTTTGGGACTGGTGATGTCCTTTTGCAGGAGAATAAATCGGTCAGTAGGCAGCGTTTTCGTACATGTTCATCTGTTATCTTAAACAGACTAGCTGGGGAACATAATCTAGCATTTGGCAGTTGCAGAGCAGCATGATTGCCTCAGGTACTGAAAGAGGCAAAAAAAACCAAGCTAAAACAAAACTAGAAAAGATTGAATGACCTCCATCAGATAGAGAACATTTAAACATTCAGAGTTACAATCAGCTGCATCCATCATCAAAGTCAAAACACTATTAGAACATAAAATAATAGATTAATAACTCAACACAAAACTAACACAACAGTACAAACAGACAGAGGATTAATCCATGAGAGTGTTTTTGTTTTAAGAAGAAGGAAAGCAGGAATATGGAGGAGTGAGAAATTACAAAAATAAATCAGTAAAAGAATAATAAAATAAAAGTGGAAATAAAAAGAAGAATAAATACAATAAAAAACAAATAATGTGGCAATAAAAAGCAATATTAATCAAAATTGAATTTATAAAAGAAAAAAAGTAGAAATGTAAAGACAAATAAATAAAATAATAATAATTATATATTTTATTAGTATCAATTAATTTATTTTTTAGAAATTTTATTATTTTATTTTTTATTATTTTTTTAAAATTTTAATCGTTTTATTTATTTTTTCATAATGTCAATTTAATAGCAAAGAAAATATGCAAAGAATAATGTGCATATATTTCCTTTGCTTTTAAAGCAACATTATAGAAAAAGAAATAAAAATTAAAAAGTTAAAAAATATATATATATATTGTTATTTTTTATTTCATGTCTTTTATGTATTTGTCTTTATATTTCTACTTTTATTAGTCTTTTCTTTTATGGATTCATTTTTTTTATTAATACAGATTTATATTGCCACATAATTTATTTTTTATTGTATTTTTTCTTTTTTTTATTTCCACTTTTATTTTATGATTTTTTTATTTTTGCAATTTGGCACTCTCACTACTCCATACAGGCATTTTAAAAAAAGCAAAATTACCTTTTGAATATAGCCCAAGCTCAAAAATAAATAAGTTTAAATTAGAAAGAAGAATTCAGGCTTCTTTCACTTCAACCTCCTCGCTGAGAGAGGAAGCGAGCGGTTCAAATCAGCCCCACTGTGAGCCAGAATGTGTGCATGAGCACAAGATGAGCTGCTCTCTTCCTGAGTGTGCGCTCATCACAGAAAGCTCAAGTATTGGCTGCCTCTCGTGCACCCCCCCTTCC